TATGATAATAAACCGTTATATATTTTCGCTTCTGTCACACTGCTATTTTAATGAACACAGCTGTACATAGGTTGTTTTACTTTTATGACTAGGATGGTCCCAGCGCCGGCATCAGCTCCACACCCACGAACTCTTTGGCCAGACGTACACCCACAAAAAACAGTCCATAGCTCTTGACCAGCATCCTGCGTGAAATTTGGCAACATTAGTTAGTAAAATTTAATTTATGTGATCGATTTAAATTATTTTTCAAACTCACCATTGGAATTCGTTGTTGTAGATTTTACGCAACATATTTATGGGGTTTGACAACTTCACCATCTTGATATCTCTGAATATTAAACAAATCCGAGAAAATTACATCATTTTGATAAACTATCGACGGCACATTTTACTTTCGATGATTATGTAACCTTGCACATTCGACAGTTTAAGAAGAACAGTGATAGTATCGCCACTACTACATTTCTTGCAATTTCGAACCTAATAGCCTATTCACACAGAGTTTGTTTCCGCTTTAGCAACTTTCTTCCATAAAGCCTAGTACTCAGATCGGCTAAGAGTTTCACTAGTCAAAAAATCTTTTTCCTTGTAGTGTGACCGATGTCTTCAAAATGCATGTACCGCAATGCATGTACCATGGTCTTACTGTCAAGCAGCTGTGTTTAATGACAAACGATCTGAATACTAGGCTATAAGTTTAGTTTTTGTTCAAGGTTAGGTGATTTCTGGAGTTTTGTCAGTCTGTCAATATGTCAATCTTTCAATCTGTCAATTTGTCAGTCTGTTAGTCTTTCAGTCTGTCAGTCTGTCAGTCTGTCAGCAATATACTGCAGACACTGCAGGCTGTACAATCGGTCATGAGTCAACCTAGTAGCAGTGAAATATACTGTAGACACTGCAGTTTGTACTATAGGCCAAGAGTCCCCAATATGGGGCAACTAAAACAAAACACTGCCAAAATGTTTTTTTTTAAGATTTTCAAATTTCTTGAATTGTACCTTTGAAAACAACTAAATTCTGCATACAAATCAGAAAGAAAAAGTCTGTAAAGATAAGTTATTCTACTACATTTTTAAAAAATTCCCGTTTTAAAATATAATTTTAGCCAATGGGAAATGGCATTTTTATACTTTTTGACTGTTCTAAGAGCAACAAAGCTTTTTTTATTTTTTTATATATAATCCAGTTCTTAGCATAATAAAAAAAGAAGACGTTTTAGTTCATAGTTACAATTTTTTTTTAAGAAATAGTCAATAAAATTTCGATTTTTAACTTCTGAAAAAACTAGAATGCTCTTTTGAGCCTCTTCTGAGAGAGTCATATGTTAGTTAACAAAGATTTTGTCGATTTTTCAAATATCGTAAGCTTTGGTTTTTGGCCCGCACGTACAACATGAATCCCTAGTTATATTACTAATCAGCTGTTCAATTTACTTTTGTTTTTACTTTGCGGCGAGCGTTTCAATTAATTTTTTTAGACCAATTCTAATATCTTTATAATGGAAAGTGATGCCGGAGGTATTTATGTTGTGTTCCTCGCGTCAAATATGTTCTTATAATTGTGCTGAGTTCGTGTTTTAGAGCTATTGTGATATCTTAGAAATGTGAAACAATGGTGATATTTATTTGTTGGTGAGGTCCTACGTTACATGTGTGTGTCTTAAGCAAAACAAAGAAAATGAAATGAAATGAAATTAAATATTTTTAAAATATTGTGTGTTTAATAGATTGCTACTCAGCTCAGATCCTTTGGTTTCTAGTAATTTCAAAACTCCTCAAAAAAATACAAGAAATACCAAAATCGGCTCTAAAACTTTTAAAAAGTCCTGCTTTTTCTCATAAGGAGTATGCAAATATATTTGATTGCTCTGACAATTGTGATAAAGATAATGATGAATAAAAAGAAAAAAAATTGTAAGTTTTAAATTTAATTTTGTTTCGATTTAGTGAAATTATGAGTATAACCTGATAATGATGTCAAAATTTGAACTAAATCCCGATTTTTATAAAACATTTGTTGTAAAAATATTTCTATGTTTCTTCCTATGACAAGTACTAAAAATAACTGACCGGTTAAAAAAACGATAAGCATTAGTTAAATTGTTAAGTACCAACAATATTTCGTTTTATAAGTCCGTTTCTACGCAAACTAGTCTCTCAGTTTTAAAGCTATCGGGCTGAAACTTTTCTTAAAGTCTTCTTTCTTTTGCAGATAGTATAAAAGTCGGAACTAGTCGGATCGGACAACTTTATTTTAAAGCTCCCATAGGAATAATCGAAAAAATATTTTTTTAAAAATTATGTCTTTGGTGTTTTTTTATGTCTTTTTTTTTACGCTTGGAAATAACATTTTTTAATTAGTTCTGAATTTCGAATTTAATTTTATCAAAATCGGACGACTATATCATATAGCTGCCATAGGACATTTCATCTTATATTATTGGGACTATCATTTTATGTATTTTTAAGAATTTCGAATTAAATTTAATAATTTAATTGCCGAAGCTAACTTCCTTCCTTGTTTTTTTATATATCACAATTTGGAATACAACTTGAAACAAATCAGACGACTTTATCATTTAGCTCAAATAGGAACGATTGGATAATTAATGTCAAAAAAATACATAGACCGATATATTTCGTTTTCGGTAAGAATATATGGAGTAACATGAAATGGAACACTATCTTAATATTCTTGTAATTAGTTTATAGTTTCCTGAAAATCGGAAAGCTCTCTACAATACAATGCTCCCACGGGAACGACCTGCCAGGGTATAGAAACTTCGACGTTCCGAAGTTAGCTTTCTTTCTTGTTTTTACATTTATTTTAAAATCTTTTTTATTTATCATTCCTATGGGAGCTATAGGATATAGTTGTCCGATCCGACTACTATTTGCGATAGAAATAAGACTCTTGGAAAGGTTTCATTCCGCCAGCTTTAAAATTGAGAGACTAGTTTGCGTAGAAATAGACAGACAGACGGACAGACGGACGGAAATACGGAAGGGCAGACGGACATGGCTAGACGGACCCAAGTAATGGTGAGCAATAATATATGTTGTAACGGCGCCTGTAGCGACTGGCGAACCTAGGTTCAGCCTAAAAGCCTACTATATAGGACCCGCTTAAACCAAAGCTTGACCTAGTGTGGCCACCTGTGACGGTTATTCGATATTTCGATAGTTTTGAACAGATGAGCCCGGGTGGTCTTGGGAAATTCTAGTGAGGCCACCTGTGTCGGATATTCGATATTTCGATAGTTTTGAACAGCTGAGCCAGGGTTGTCTTGGAAAGTTCTAGTGTGACCACCTGTGTCGGTCGTCATATGATATATATTTCCGCCAAGAGCCTCGCTGGTATCCAGCCGATTCCGGTCAAGTTCTTCTTATTTTAACCAGCAAGAGAAACGGACGTGCGAACAGCTCAAAATTTAATTTTTTCCATTAAAAGGCTAAAAGCCCGAAATATATATTTTTTAAGTGGCATCCAGTATTTTTGAGTGGCATCCAGTATTCTAAGTGGTGTTTAGCACTCAGTGTGGCTGCCAGCTATAAAAGCTAGCCAGCGAATACAGCTTAAAGTAAGTGCAAGTGCATTTGTTTAGAAATTGGGGAGTATTTAACCTCCAACAAAATTTCTCTACAGGTATTTTTAATATTCCGGGTGGAAAACCCAGCCAGTGCTGCCACAAGTTGCCGCCAAAGGCGCATCTTATTGATTCGGCCTATTTACTGGAGGATTTACCACCTCAAGAAGGCCAATATCAAATCTCGGGGCCCAATCGTCAGGTATGGTTTTTTTGAGACACACATGTCGCCATATCTGTAATTAATTTAAATGCCCAATCGTCAGGTTGGCCCGCGAGGTATGATTTGGAGAGATTAGTGCCCTGAAGTACCCCTATCTACTATCTACCTATCTACGGGTCATGTAGTGCCGGCCAAGAAGAGCAGTTTATATAAAGAGGACCTGTCACGATGCCCATCATGCCGCGCATCCGTACACCAGCCGAGTTTTAAGGGGTGCGCGTATCCGTCTGGGAGGTTCCGAGTGGAATATCGCTGCCGCAGATTTAGGGATTTATACCCGTTTATTTTGTAAAAGCGCCGCGTGTGTGTACGGCCTTAACCTAGCATGGCACACTAGCCAACCGTGTTTAACCTTAATGGAGATAACTATCTTTCATATTGGATCAGTCCTAACCCTGTTATATAACCATCGTACTTTGAAAAACCGAATTTTAGAATTAATGTGAAAGAAAATCAATGAAATCAAAGATATGTAAACCATAAAGCAAACAATAATTTTTTCGTAAAGCCTCAAGTGGCAACGCCATGTAAAGCGATAGTTATATTTAACAAATTAAAAGAAATTAACAAGTCGATCGGGTCAAAAGAGATAATGCACGCCGAGAAGCATTAATTTAATTTAAGAAGAGCTAGTTTTTTTTTAGGTTTAAATGAGAAATTTGTTATTGTAAAGTATTCAAGGAAGTACGATGAATTAGGTACGGGTTACAAGTTTAGTTTAAATCGTTCGCGCGTCTAAGAGAAATGAGAGAAATGTTTATTTGCCCTTTAAATTCTACATGGCGAGAAAAATCGCTACCCTTTAGATTACAGCCAACCCATCCCGTCCGGAGATCGATCTTCAACGTTAGAGGAAATGCCGTGAGTCACACTAACTAATCACATATATATATATTTTTATTCACATTTCTCGCCGATCCGTAAAGTGAACGAAACTTGTTTAAACATAAACCCCGAACTAAAAACAATTAATTAATTAAAATACCTTGAGTTATTTTCATTCTCTATGAATTAATTTGCGATTTTCAAAAGAAGTTGAATATATCACGATCGCCTACTATTAAATCTTAAAGTCTCTAATTGCCTGAGTACATGAATTGATAAATTTAGAAAGTCCCTTGAAGAAGTTTCTAGAGAGAAAAATATTACAGGCAAGCTAGTTCTATCGAAAACTATTTCATTAAGCTTAAATTTATATTTAGTGAAATACATTGTTATATCATGAATATTATCTTCCTATGACTTATTGTTTTTAAATACCCTATGTTCTTTTTATAAATATTAAATATGACTTGTACCGCTATCTACGGAAAATTGACCGATCCACGACAAGGCCTTCCTGGCGATCACGCGTCCTCGCTGGCCATGTATATATTCGCAGCTCAACAGTAGATTTTTTAAAATTGTTTATTATTCTTATCTTTCTTCTGTCTTAAATTAACATAGCTTCCTTTTTTACGTCACCGAAGCCATGCTTTAAGGTGGTGATCATCGGTTGGGAGGGCCATACGCGACCACAATACCATCCGTGGATTCGCATAGCTAACTTTCTCCAAAACTTTTCTGTCCCTATAATACTTATTCCTGAATTTATTTATCGTTCTCTTCCGGGTTCAGTTTACTATCCTCTCTTGTCGCTAGCACGCTTATTTCTGATCTTAGTGATAATAATGTGTAGTCAGTACGCGAATCTGTAGGCGCAAGACCTCCACCCCCAAAGCCGAAGAGCAAGTGCCGGACCCTAATAGCGTGCCCCGCAACTGCAGATTCCCGATTTCATGCAACCGTTACACGCTACAATGTATGTCGGAGATGACCGAGGTGGAAGGAAGGTGGTGATTCTTCTCATTCTGTCATTTCGGTTCCTATCGGGAAAGCACATCAAGTTGCCTATGTGTTGTTCGTCACTCGTAAACCAGATACAGACTGAATCTCCAGCGCTCACACATTCCTTCTTCTCCTTCGTTCTATTCTTTTACATAACTGTACTTTGCAAAACAACCACAGGGGCTATGCTCATTTAAGTATTTTAACATGACTTCGGTTACATCAAATTCAAATTCAAATCATCTCCAACGTATAAGATTTTTGTTAGATTCAAAATAATTAAACCGATCCACGACAAGGCCTTCCTGGCGATCACGCGTCCTCGCTGGCCATGTATATATTCGCAGCTCAACAGTAGATTTTTTAAAATTGTTTATTATTCTTATCTTTCTTCTGTCTTAAATTAACATAGCTTCCTTTTTTACGTTTTTACTTGGTAATAATTAAACATTGTAACAGGCTGGCTATTATATATTGTAACAGGCGTGCTAGCTTATATGCAATACACTAGTTCTAAGTATTATATTGTTATACTCAAAGTTATATAAACAGGGCAGAGTATATGAATCTGCTCTGGTCACACTATTCGATCCTCGAGAGAGGAGAGGTTCTCTCAAGAGATCCTGAAAACGGGGGTTGAAAAGAGAGTTGCCTGCGAGCAGCGAGTTAGTTTTAACCGAGAGTGCGAATAAAGAAGACATAAAACGAAAAACTTATTGTGAACTGAATCCTGATACATACCAGGAAAAAAATCTATAATAACTTACACTCAAAAATTAAAAAAGTGAAATGGATAGGCAAATTAGTGACTTGTCTGTGACACAACTAAAACGGTGTCTGGAATTCCGAGAACGAGCAAGAACGAGATGGCAAGGCAAGCAGCGGTTCGGAGAATTCCGAGAACGGGCAAGAACGAGATGGCATGGCAACCAACAGTTCGGAGAATTCCGAGAACAGGCGAGAGCGAGTTGGCGACCGAAGCAGCGGTTCTACAAACATTGTACAAGGAAATTTCGAGAACTTGCCACAACTTGGCTGCGCAGATTACGGTGGAAACAATGGCAGAGATGCTCATCGAACTTCTGACGAAATCGTGACACAGCGCCCCGTGGGAAGGGCTGAGTTTTCGTCAGCTGGATTTAATCTAGCCAGCGAAAAATTGGGATGGACTTGCCGAGAAGATTCCTGTACGATCCTGGATCTCCTAATGGGACAACATATCCACGTTGTATGACCTATCGGACACCCAGCGAAGAGAGTTGCTGATCAGCAAACTAAAAGGCAGCGCGTCTGTGGCAACCGAATGAAAAATTCGCGATGTACTTTGAAGAGAAGAGCAGGCTGGCCCGAGATGTCAACATGGAGGAGGACGAGCTACTGGATGGACTAATTGTTGGCATACCGACGATTAATTTACGCACGCAGGCCAAGTTACAGTGCTTTGAGAAACCTGGAAGGATGCTTACAGCTTTCGCTGACATAATGCTGCCAACAAGGGCTGCTGGGAGCAACAAGATGCAGTCTTCCAAAAACCGATCCGGCGAGGAGACGCGTTGCTACAACTGCAACGGAAATGGGCATTGGGCTAGAGAGTGCGCCAAACCGAAGAGAACACCAGGGACGTGCTACGGATGTGGAGCTACCGATGATTTCATCAACGGATGTCCTCAAAATAAGAAGCAGGATGTCAATAACTATGTAAGGTTGTTAAAAATTTTTTGTTTTGAAAACCCTAACCAGCCAATTATTACAGAATGCCTAATGGATTCAGGAAGTCCAGTATCGCTAATCAAACATTCGGTTGTGCCGAGAAATATTAAATTAGAAGCACATAATTAGACTTTCTTCGGATTAAACAAAAGCTTTTTGAAAAGCGAAGGAAAAATATTATGTTTTATAATGAAAAAAGAAATAATTTTTTTTTTTAATTTAATTGTTGTGGCTGATGGATATATGGGTGGTAATATTGTGCTGGGTAGAGATTTTATGAAGGCCTGCGACTTGGAAATTAATTAAGAAACTTTAAATATAATAACTGTAGATAGTACTGAGACCCAAGATGATAGAAAAATTGGGTCAATTTATAAGGTGCCTTACAATTTAAGAAAAGAATTGGAGTTTGAACGAAATGAAAAGTTAGGGAATGAGATGTTAGAGGATAAAATGTTAGGTAGTGAAATATTAGGAAATGAAAAGTTAGGGAATGAGATGTTAGAGGATAAAATGTTAGGTAGTGAAATATTAGGAAATGAAAAGTTAGGAAATTAGATGTTAGGGTATGAACTGGTAGGTGTTGAAAAATTAGGAGGTGAAATTTTAGAAGAAACTTTAGAAAGTAAAATTTTAAAATTTAATTTCATGCGATGGAATCAGAGCTGATGATAGGGGTTTAAAAGCCATAAAAAATTTTCCAATTCCGACTAAAGTACAAGCAGTCCAAAGGTTTTTTTTGCTCTGCTCTTATTTCCGCCGATTTATTAAAGTCTTTTCAATAATAGCGAACCCTTAAACGATTTAGTGAAAAAAGATAGGGTATTTAAGTTTGAGGAAGATGAATTAAATTGTTTTTCACATTTGAAAGCGAAATTGATGGAAGCGCCCGTTTTAGCTATATACGATCACAAAGACAAAGTTGAGTAACACTGCGATGCCAGTGCTTTAGGGTTTGGGGCGGTACTTTTTCAACGAAAAGCAGGCAAGAAGTTGCATCCTATATCCTATTTTTCAAAAAGGTCAACTGTCGGGTCACGCAGCCGCAGCAGCTAATTAACTTAATTCGATCTTTTATATTAATTGCATCGCGAAAAGTAGCTCTCTCTATCTAGCTCTCTCGTTTTTTGTGTACTTGCATTCTTGGGCCCAGCATTCGGCTGGCTGTCCCTTTGTAAAGTCAGTACGAATTCTGATCTCGACATTAAATGCACTTTCATCTCGCCTGCTGTACTCTCTCTCGCTAATAAATTGTTAACAAGGATAAAGCAACCTGAAATTCGTATTTTTTAATTTAGCAATAACTAAAAAAAAAACTTATTAGTTCAACATTGGTGACCCCGACGTGATTTGTGCATAAATAATACTAAGTGCAAATCATATAAGTCTATTTATTGACTTTTTCGTTCTTGCGGCTGCGGTGCATTGGCGGAGAAACAATCATAGGCCTTAAATGCAGTGAGCGCTTTAAATAAATAGCAGTTGGTGATTGCGGAAATTTACATATAAGGCGCAAAATCTTTTCATCTTTACATATGTAGAAGCGTACATAGCCAAGTAACGGGCTGTTATTCCCTCGTTTGCTTTGCGCTCATCTTCCCGCTGAAGCCGAATTTCGGGCATTTCGTCTGCTGTTGTTGTTGTAGCCATGCCTACTGGAACTTTTGGCGATGTTACCGCTGATGCAAACAGGGCAATATTTTTAAAGCGCAAGGCAACGGCTTTACTTAACAGAGTGGAGCGCTTGTGGATTTCCTATCAAGTGCGGCGTTAACTTCATGCGACGAATCCGGTCTTCATGTGAGGTTGGAGTTGATTGATGAGCTTCATGAGACATTTGAAAAGGTGCTCGGTGAGCTCGAAGAATTGGATTTCGAGGAAATTGAAAGGATTTAAGTGAGAAATTTGATGACATTCTCGTAATTCTGAAGTCATCGCGCCTCACAGCTTCTTTCGTAATCAACTTTTGCTGACGGCATCACTCCGGGAGTTTACGGCCGCCAGCAGCGTCGGCCTCGACATAGGGCAGCATTGCTGCCCCCACTGGAGCTTCCAAAATTCTATGGAGGTTATGCAAATTGGTCTGACTTTTATTCTATGTTTACCACGATCATAGATAGCCATCCGGACCTCACCAACGTAGAAAAGCTGCAGCACCTACGATCGTGCCTGAGTGACGCAGCGTTGGAAACTATTCGCTCATTGGAAATTTCGGATGGCAACTACGCAATTGCTTTAGATGTGCCTGCACAATAGATTTGATAATCGACGTTTGGTTTTTCAGACACACATTACTGAGATCCTGAGACTTAAGGCGGTGCAGAGTTGTTCCGTCTCGACACTTCGGGAGCGGTCCGATAAATTCAACGCTCATATTCGTGCTCTCAAAGGACTGGGCACGACGGAACAAATCGCAGGATGCATCATTGTCCAAGTCCTGTTCCAAAAGTTGGATCCGGCAAGTCAGGCAAAGTGGGAAGAGCGTATAGAGAAACCTGCCTTCGTCAATTTAATTCCCACGTGGGAGTCAATGGCATCATTTCTGGAGCAGCGATGCAGGGCGTTGGACACTATGGATTTCGCCATGGCAAGCTATGCGCCGGCCAATCAGGTGGGAAGTAACAGAATACCCAATGCGCGTACATCAGCATTTGTTGCCTCGAATGCTAACCCTTGGATTTGTATATTCTGTAATGATGCGGGGCATTCCATTTCATATTGTTAGAATTTTAAAACACTGTCTCCTGCGAACAGGCTTCAAGAAGCGAAACGGCTCGGTCTTTGCATAAATTTTCTTAAGGTTGGTCATCAAGTTCGGCAATGCAAAATGTAAAATGATCTCTCTACAGTATCGTTTCTACATGGCCTCAAACGATTTATATGCACTAGAAGAAGGCCGCGGAAGATTTGGTCTCATAATGAAACCAACTTTGTTGGCGCTCGCAATAAGCTGCTCGAACTAAGGCGCCTATTCCTCCGCAGTGATCACCAGAGAGCTACGTTGGACTTTGGCTATTGATTGGTCGCCACACTTTGGTGGTCTTTGGGAAGCGGCTGTGAAGATCGCTAAGCAACATTTCTACCGCGCTGTTGGCGCCGCTGTTTTAGCTTTTGAGGAGTTGCGGACCCTGGTGTGTCACATTTCGGCGGTTGTTAATTCTCGACCATTAGTCTCGATTTCAGAAAACCCAGCTGATCTGGATGTATAAGCCCCAGCACATTTTTTGAATGGTGGTCCGCCTTCCTCTTTCGTCGAGCCGGATGTGACCAGTCCTAACTTCAATCGCTTGGATGGATGGCAACGCGTGGCTTACTTTCAGCAGATCTTTTGGTCCCGACGGAAGGAAGAATACTTAACATTACTGAAGCAGCGCTCCAAGTGGCGCACCACAAAACCTGGCCTGGTTGTCGATGACTTAGTTCTGGTCAAGGACGAAAACTTGCCCCCCATGAAGTAGCCCCTCGCCAGAGTGATCGAGCTTCTGTTCGGTGGAGATGGGGTTGCTCGAGTTGCCGTTCTGAAGACAGCATCAGGAGTGACAAAGCGAGCAGTAAACAAGCTGTGTCTGCTACCCCTACATACCCAAAAATATACAGTTAGCTGACTCAAGGTTTTATGCTCCGCAGCGGGTGGATCTTTTAATCGGAGCCAGCCTCTTTTTCGAGATGTCGGGTTGTGCCGATACTTCTTGAACCAATTGCGGGTGCTTAAGCTAGACACCGTTACTTATGGCACGAAGCCAGCATCATTTCTGGCTGTGCGAGCTATGCATTAGTTGGCAGCAGACGAGCATACAGCTTCGGGCTGAGGTCATTCGTCGCGATTTTTATGTGGATGATTCGATATCTGGAGCCAAGTCCAAGGAAGAGGCAGTCATCATTATGGACCAGGCATCAAAACTTCTAGCCAAGGGAAAATGTAAGCTTAGAAAGTGGTGCTCAAATGTGTTGGCTGGTTTGGATGGAGTTGCAGACATGGATAAGAAGTCCTATTTGAAGTTTGATAATGTCACTGATTTTGCAAAAACCTTAGGTCTCGCTTGGGATCCAGTTTCTGACCAACTATTGTTTTTCTTTTCGGTCTTACAGTCAACATCAAGCCCCTGCAGGCGATCTGTCCTGTCTGCAATAGCGCGATTTTTCGATCCTTTCGGGTTGGTTGGACCTGTGACACAAAATCGAAAATTTTCCTTCAACAACTGTGCAAGGTGAAGTTATCCTGGGATGAAAGCCTTCCTGAGTCACAGAATACGGAATGGAGTGCTATATTTACGAGTTTTGGGCAGATTAGGCATGCGTCATTTCCTCGGCTGGTTCGCTCTCCAAACTCTGAGAGTGAAGTTCATGGATTTTGTGATGCCAGCATAGAAGCATATGGTGCCTCTGTCTACATCGTTTGCAATGGCCGATCTCACTCACTGTGCCCAAGCTGGCACTGTGTGGGGCGGAACTCCTGTCTAGGCTTATCGCAGAAGTGGCTGGGACGAGTGCATTTGAGGGAAAGTTTTACTGCTGGAGCGACTCTGCTGTAGCGCTTTCATGGATCCGAGACGAGCCGTCCAAATTCAATATTTTTGTAGCGAACCGAGTAGCTGCCATTCAAGAGCTATCTCAGTCAGTGGAGTGGCGATATGTTCCAACTTTTTTAAATCCAGCTGATATTCTCTGCCGAGGTGCTTTTCCTGCTGAGCTCAACGAGTCTCCTCTCTGGGCTCATGGACCAAAATTCCTCTGTGGCCCCAAAGCTGACTGGCCGACCCCAATCACTGCTAAAAAGCCAACGCTTGAGGTTCGCCGGAGGATTCTACTAACAAATTCTCCATACGAAGACATAGTGGCCAGTTCAAAATTTGCCAATTCCTTTGCTGCCCTTCAAAGAATTTTCGGATACGTCTATAAGTTTAGTAATCGCATCCATCGCCTTACGCTCACGGTGTCTGACCTTCAAGGCGGTACTCTTCTGTTGCTTCGTCTTGTCCAGCGCTTACATTTATGGGATGACATCAAATCATTGCAGTCAAAGGGAATGGTGCACTCCTCCAGCTCGCTCGCATCTCTTTCGCCATTCATTGACCACTTTTGGCTTCTTAGAGTGGATGGCCGGCTAAGGAATTCTTCTCTGGATTTTAATGGGCGTCATCCAATTATATTACCACGGAGTCA